AGCTGGGAAAAGTGATGAAGTAGAAAAAGAAGAATTTATCAAAGTTGATTTAATTTTACAATAATCAGTAGCTTGTGACTAACTGTTCTGGTTTTTTTTTCTCTCAAGTGACTATAAAAATGTAATTAATTAAATCAGATGTGAGTTCCTATGTCGAATATTAATTTTTTTCCTGTGATTAGAAGCACAATAAGTTAGATTAGCTGTGAATAATTCGTAACTCTTAAGTAACTTTTTCACTGCGTGTTAAATTAGTTACTACGATTAGTTACTTTTTTACATGAGTAATTTTCGGCGAGAAGAGTCTGAAATGACAGTATGTTTCATTATGTTAACCTAGCCCAACGGTTTTATTTTTAATTTAAAACTTATTTATTGATAATAGATTTAAGACCAATTAAATGAATAAAAACGAGTTGGATTCAAATCTATTTTTTTGCAATGTATATTTGTTTTAAATAACTATGATGTATGAATTTTATTACAATAATGAGTAGGTACTTCTGTAATATTCATAATTTATTAAAATAAAAAAATATGCATTTACTATATTTTGCCGTAGCTCTAACTTGTGGAGTCGTATGTATAATAATGTTTATGTATATCTAATAATTTAATGGGGGTTTTTTTTTTTACTCTGGTTTTTCCCCCAAGTCCCAGATAAAGAATACCTACCATTGTCTCTGACACGATTACTAAGCCGACATTCGTGCGAACATAATGCGGCAACATTATTTGCACCGTCCGTGCTCGTTAATATATTTAATCGACCGTTATGCCCCGCCGTGTCTTATAGTGATGAAAACTTAAGCGACTGCGGACGGACAGCTCGGGGGGGGGGGGGGTTGGCTAAGGGACAAGCCTAGGGATGCAGCAGAAGCGTGCGATATTTCATTGTCAAACGTTTCGTAGGAAATTAATGGAGTTAAATTTAAGAGTAAGTCGGAGAAACAGATATTAATCCTTTCCCGGTCGGACGAGGAGGAATTTTCACCTTGCGGTGCACAATAGAGGGTAAAACCGTTGGCCCGCGTCGCGACGGCCCTATTTAATATATATATATATTATATAATAAATAACACCAATTAATTAATATGTGTGACGACAAAATATTTACTCAACTCCGGTCTATTGTATGTATTATAATATTATATGATACTTGTCCGGCATCATATTATTGTATCTACGACGCTGTTATCGACCAAGACTCACGCTACCCATACTTGGGTCGGTCTACTCTCATCGTTCCGGTTCTATTCTGTTTGCATAACATATTATAATTTATATTATAAATATACATACAAATATGTATTGCTCCAATCGTTTCTCGAGTGCTCTATACGGTAGACCCTTAACGACTTACAAAAGTGTGAGTAGATATGTAGGTACCACTCGTATGACCTGGCCGACGGTATTCAATTACTTATACAACTCGTTATGGAATCCGTTTTATAAATAATATTATTATTATTATATAGGTTGTATAATATGCACTCTGCACATTAGGCAAATGAAGAATGTTCCAAAATAATTTATTAAAATGCTGATTTTTCCGTTGTTTCTTTTATCCAAATAAAATTATGTTGATAAACTACTACGTGACATCTTTGGCGAACATCCCCATACAAGACGATGGGTCACTCGAAAGCACATTTTTTCACATAAAAGTGTTGTTGTCTGAATTATTAGTGGACATATTCTAGATTCGTCAAGAACATTTTCCCGTCCCAGGGAAACGGAAGAAGTGCTTCAAGTGTCATGTCATTTCTTGCATGAAAATTTCGCAGAAAATACCATAGAATGATTTTTTTTTTATTACAATGTTATATATTTTAATGAGTTGCGCAATATAAAAGTCTGAATTTTGAAGATGAATGTAAAATGCATACAAATTATTTATCTGTCCTTAAGGGTTATTGTTTGCGGGTTTGCCCGTTCCCTTGTTGCAAATTAAAAACACCTAATTCGCATACTTATGGATGACTGGCATCGAGTGGTGTAGAATCATTTTTTTGAGTAAACATGTTTCACATTTCAATATATTATTTTTTGTCAACCCTGATTTCATTATCAAGCTGTATGTGTCATCAATTATCGTAATTCAAACATCAATTATCCATTAATATTTCATTACGATTCGTTGATGAAACTTTTATTACAATTTATTATTGTAATAATAATAAATAGTACTCAACAGTTATTAAGTTTTATTTTGTACACATTTTTACTTTGTATAACTACTTATTCAATCCACATTTTGATTACTATAACTAGTGTTATAAGTACAAACGAGGGGGAGGGGGGCTTGACAGGATTAAATGGAAACGCATAACGTGTGCTTAATGTGTATATTTAATATGTACATACTAACTAGAGTACCTAGTAGTTGTAGTAGGTAGTAGTATTTCAACCGATGGGCCATGGTTTGGATTTGCATACGATAAGGACGCGTTTTTGTTTTTCTTTAAAAAATAAACGTGCGGGCGGGCAACGACCATGACCGATTTTCCGCTGTTCCGGTCGACCGGTATAATACAGGCCGGTATAGTGTATAATGTGTATATATTTATACATACATATAAGATGAGTGTTTATAAATAGTATTGACTTTTTGTTTTCTTTTTTTCGTGCTTATGCAATTTTTACGATTTTGCATTAGCATATCTTATATTATAAATGTATTTTATCGACGGCAATGCGGTTCTATACGAGTAAGGCTGATAGCCAAACGACAGCATATAAAGTACACACACACACACACATGTACACACCAGAGTCCACAAAGTTTTTGTAAAGCGACGGAGCAAACGTTTCGCCGACGTCAATTACCATTTATTATATTTATACATAAACACGTGTAATTCAATACAGTCAAAATACCATAATCCAAAGACAAGACGGCAAAGAGGGTGGAACGATGTTCGCCGGAACAACCCTGTTATACATGGCGCATCCCTTGGACGACCGACCAAAAGAACTTGTCCTTTCCCTTTGTAATTCCGGGCCGCGGGTTATTTTCGTCTGTAAAAAAAAAAATCACCGTAAACGCTTTTGTCGCCATTTTATAAATAAATACTGACTGCCGAGTTCCTTGCCAAAAACCGTTAACCTAAATAATAAAGTTCTCCTCCCCGCGACCGCTTTGCTGTTCCAAACCCCGAACACAATCAACCGCATGCAAGATACTCCGCACTAGTCTAAAAGCACAACTGGTAGGGGGAGGCTACATTACCTAACACTCCCAAATTCATAAAATATAACATTTTCAACTGGTAATCACACTAATTAGCTCTGCTATCTAAAGAGCATTGATTCATTATCATTGTCTACAATATATAGTATTCTTATTCTCCTCCTTGTCATATATTATACCAGCAGCGTCCGCCACCCTGCTCTATCACCATTAGATACTCTATTTTCTACACACATACAATCCTTTACTCTAATCTCCCTTACCTGTTTTAATCTTTCTTAATTTATCTTATTTCTTTCGACTTGCCAATCCATCTCCGGTTCTTCTCACAGCTCCCATAAAGGGCGGAGGTTTAGGGGCTTAGGATACAAAAAAACCCCAAATTAAAATAAGTGCTTTTCAGAATACCTACATTTATTTTTTAGTGAGAGATTTGAGCGTAGCACTAAATTTAAAAATATACAACCGTTCTAAAAACATTTTTTTAATGTGCTCGTATTGATTTGAATGGGTTGACACGACGTTTAAAATAACATAATAATACAATCAAACATCTGGTATGAAGATTAAACATATTTATGATCACAAAAAAAAAGTAATAATCATAAATCGAAATCGCAGAATGCACTTGGACTAGGCGTCGGTCAATCTATTTTATTATTAATAGAATATATTATGTATAAACAGTTTTAATTATATGTAGTATATTTTATGCACACGCCACTCATGTCTGTGGCATATACATAGAGTTTATATTTTTAGTTTATTGTAATGCTTAGAATTAACAGCTGACCATACATGGGCTATTTTTTAAAATGCAAATCTGTTGTTTTTATAATTTGCCAAGAATAAATTCAATCATGTTGTCAGTGATCAAGCACCTGTGGAACAAGTAACAGTTTTTTTATTCAATACCATTTTCTTTGACGACTTCCCTTTTTTATTTTTCAAGATATCCTTTAGACCGGAAAACCTTTTACAAAAAAAAAAAAAAATCAGATTTTATTAGATTAAAAATGCATTCAATCATAAAATTGACTAGGCACAAAGAAATCCACGGGCGCCGTAATTTGTATTTTTTTTTATACCAGATGCGATGGCCGTTTAATTTTTTTATTTTCGTTATAATCAACTCGAAGCTTTTTGAGAATTTTACAAAATCCAGTTGATTGCAATCTATAAAGAGCACGGGCCAACAATTCGCAATTTGTTTTCAATTTTGGCACGACTGCAAATAGTATATACATATATTACTATGTTTTCATTGCTTACCAAGCATTTGTCACCACAGAATATATCGTTATAACACATTCAATCAACATTTTAGTACGTCATATTGCATACTTAAACCCTACCGAAGAATCGTTCGTTGTACCAATGTTAGAATTAAAAGTATATAGTGTTTAATTCTACTGCGGTTAAAACTCAAACTAAATAACCAACAGCTTACAATTAACACGAACAAGACTTTTAACTGAGAAATATCAATACAATGTCATATATAATAGTTAACCTTATATACTTATGTTTAACAATATTAAGATATTATAACAATAAGTATAACACACACATATATATATATATATATATATATAACATAAACACGAGTTTACAAGTTAAAATTTATTTTCCTTAAATTTGTTAACCGTGTTTATAATAATAATTTAAAAAAATTGTTTGTTAACATTAATGCGATAAAACCCAAACCGTTGAATCAAAACCCAAATCATTAATATTTTATCCCCAAGTTAAGCATTTTTATGCTTATACACAAATATATCTAATAATTATTTTTTTATTTTTCCAGATATTTTTTTGTTGGCCGGTGACAGTTTGACACAAGAAGATCAGGTGAGATGCTTTGTAATATCTACTGACGATTATGTGTGTTAGGTTTACATTGTTAACCAAAGCTAGTAATTAGCTACGATGTTACAAAGTTAAAAAAAATAGAAACTATACCTTTCACGTTACTTGTTTCACAATAATATTGAATTTATTTTTTGGGGAATTTCTACTTAATTTGTAATCTCCTAATTCCCGTTTTAGTCCCTTCACTTCATGTATTCATGTGTATATATTTGAATTGTACAGAAATTGGTAAACAAAAAATAATTACAATAAACAAGTACCTAATCAATAACTGGCAGTTTAACTAGATGCTTCAATCAATTAACTTATCGTTCATCTTTGATACTAAGTTACTGTGTATTTTGTGAATTTCGTGAAAATAAGATAACGCTTGCCTACAAATAATAATATTGTATTAAATTGATAGAGAAATCTCTTCGGGGAAACCCGATACGACTAGGCAGTATAAAATTCGCATAAAAGACCGTTCGCGACTTGATTAAATGTACTTCACTCCGGTTGCTTCTTCGGGGGGGGGGGGGGGGTGCGCGTACGAAAAATGTTTTATCGTCTCGGGTTCGCACCGGGTTTATGGTTTATCGTCACAGATCCATAAGTGTACGTATATACATTTCAATAGTATTTCTACATTTACGAGTATTTTATGGTTAAATGTACTTTTAAACATCATATATGTATGTATATTATACACCGCGGTAATGGAGCAACGACGCAAGATGGGATGGTAATTTTCGAAGATAGAAAAAGGTTTTTTTTTTATTCGAATCGACGACTACAATTGATTAACTATTCATCGTATACAAAACAATAAAAACAAGCACAGTAGAGGCCTTTCGGGATGATCTACACTGTATAAGAGCATATATATGAGTTAAACCACTGTGCTAGACCTGAAGAACAGAAGACTAGACATGAATTGGCTCTGTGCAGGCGCGACTACCGTGTAAAATGTGTCTTTCTATTAAATATTCCAGTACATTACTACTACAGCAGCTTAGGTAAATGTCAATTTTGTTTTCAACGTCTGAGAAATGTCACGAGGACGATGTTTATCCGTTAAGTGGATAAGAAATTGAAAACAAATATTATATGTAATAATATTACATATTGTACGAGGCGCACGAGAGAGGAATAAAGGAAACGTATAAAGAGTATATACATGTAATACCGTATAGATAGAAGGAAATATGTCAGGATGAAATGACGTGATAGAAGAAAAAAAAAGATTAGAAAGTGAACTATATTGTTTCAATGTGTGGGAGCCGTGATTCTCCGGAGGCTTGTAGATGGATGAGTACAATGTTTGTGTGTATGCAGTGTGTACACAATAACAACGATGGCGGTGGTGAACCAACACAAAGGTACTCTTCTCACGCCAGTAATAGAAGAAATCGTTCAATTATTGGCCCATCTCTCGGTATAATCTATTTTCCGTTAAGTTTTTCTTTTCTTTCGTCCGCCGCCCCATTTTCCGCTATAGTCCTCGCCGCCCGTCCGTGTACTTTGTATGTCTTGTACCGACGTGGGATCAAATTGAAAATGTATTTATATACGAAAGCGAAAAAAAAAAATCGAACGTGACCGAAATCACCACGAGGGGCTTACCGTGTAGCTTTAACGTCGGACTCGCCCGGTGCATGGCAAAAGCGTCGGCCGCACACCTGCCCTTGTATGTCTGACGGATTATTATCCAACGGCAAAAGCCACTCCGGACGTGTCTTCTTCAATGCACAATTGCCCTGAAAGAAAATACAATTATCCTTTTCACGTCCATGAATTATACCGGTCGACGCAGACTTCCCAGCTGGACCATACGAGTCGCATCTCTGTACACGGCAAAGCCGAGTTGGAAGTTCAACACGGAAAACAGCACCCCTTTATGGATTTTAAGTCCGGCTAGGAATAACTTACCGGGATTACCATGTGAAAGTAATGCATATTTGTTCCAAGCAGATGCACATTATGTCTTTGTAAACAATGAAAACAAAATAAAAGCGTTTTTTGTCTTTCGCAGGTAGGTACTGGTGAATGAACAATATGTTACGCGAATGTATAGTTTTTCTATTTGTATGTAACTAAAAATATATATATATATAATAAACGTTCAAAGCTGCTGATACACGATGTATGTTAAACAAAGAGTGTATATACGATGCAAATGGAAGCAAAAAGGAACAAAAAGTGAATTCCCATAATATAGTATAGCTGCGCTTTTTTCAGCGAATACAAGAAGAAAAAAAAACCGTGTCTAGCTAAATAAAATGTATTTCTGTTTTGTTATGTCTCTCACGAAAAGGCCCTCTTTTCTTGTACCGGCTCTTCTCGTGAACTACAAATGATTGTCTGCTCGTCCTATTCCGCTGGCCTTCCTCTCGTCAACCCCAATTCCGATTTTTTTTTGCCCAAGGCATACATCGACCATTTGAATACGTGGCCCTTGTCTGTCTGCCGGCATCGCACCCGTCCTCCGTATCCTCCCAAAGAGAAGGACGCGTTACAAAACGATACCCCAGGGACTACTGCTACATGTGATGGACTCGGAAGATCTATCAATCATCTTTGAGATGCTATAGTGATGTCCCGACCGTTTATGCTAATACCATGTGTATACGTAATAACATGCCAGCGATTGTATGTACTTATGATGAAATTTACTGCCATCAGCTGCGAGTTGAATTTCATTTCTTCTGTGAATTCATTGTGTTTCTTATTGAAAAGCAATGGCCGAAGGTATTCGACCGAAACAGCGTGAGCCGTGCACTTACCGTGAACACGGTAAATTCTACTAAATCAACATCAAAATGGCTGGGGTCCGAGAACTAGCTACTTTTTTTTTTTAGAGAACATCTCTGTTTGGTCACTGGGAAACGATACGTTTACATCTTTCGTTCAATATGTCGCTGGTCGTCCTGGACTAGAAACCCTTCATTGTCCAATTTTTTTTTAATTATATAATAAATAATTTTTTTATACAAATTAAATTATCAGGAATTTGGGAAAAATTAAATAAATAACATCTGGTGGACAGCAATATTCCTTTAAGAACTATGAGGCACCACATGAATTCAAATGTATTTATTTTTACAAAAACAAAACTATGTAATAAACATGTTGCATCTCTGCTACGATGGGCACTGAAGGGTTAAGCGGGATAAAATTAATATAGATACGTGGAACCGCAATGATGATTTTGGGCCTTTCTTTCAATAGTCGGTTCACTACACTTCCTGCCGTTACCGTCAATTAAACGTTACACGGAAAACATCACTAGGTCGTTACGGTATAGGCACAATCGTACATACGATACCATAAAGTTAGTATTATTTGTATTATTATTATTATTATTATTATTACACTGTATCGGTACAGACCATATCGTCTATTGTACACGTTACCGGTAGGTGCACGGATACACGGAGATTTTAATAGATATATATTTTTTTTTTCTGTCATCATATTTCCCGACATTGTAAAACGGAACGATCGGTTTTCGGTGCGATACAATTACTTGGAAACAACTCGCGTGTGTACCTCCTATGTATGACAAGAGAAAAGCATATTAAACATGATTGACGCCCGTAGTAGTATTTGTTTACACACCAAATCGACGGCGGCAGCGTGGCGTTATTCAAACGTGGGAACCGCTCCGGTCGATCCATTCAACCGTATGCTCTGCCCGTGCACAATGATCGCTGCTCTGCGGTGTGCACGCATTGTATAAATCGATCGGTTTCACGATAAAAAAAAACGGTCGATCGGTTCTTTTACGACCCCCCCCAAAAAAAAAACCTTTAAAAATTGTCTAAAGAAAATGTATACCGCTACACTGAGATTTTATAGCTTGGGTCGGCGAAGAGTCCAGGATGAAAGTTTAGTCTAATAGGAAATAATAGCCGAAATGTACAATGATTCTGGTATTAATAACTACCCTTTGCCGACTCCAGAGCCGGAAAATGGAGAAAACGCCACAACGATGAGCTGTGATTCGATTGCGTAAGAAGAGTCGTAAGAGCAACTAAGACAGGAGAGAAGTGGCGCGGAGGTCTGGAAGAGATAGCGGGGAATTTGTTCAGACCCATCTCAAGAAGAAGACGTTTAAATGATTTCCAAATGCGCGTTGATAGTTTGGTACAACCCGAACCGTTTAACCTTTGCCCGTGCAGCAGTAAATATAATATAATATAAATTATGTGTACACTATAATGTTGTACACACTTACCATAAGTCCATTAAAAGAATCCGTTTATCACGATGATTAATAATATAACCCTGTCGTTGCTTGTCGTTTAGCTGATGTCAACAAACGATTCTGAAAACGTCTTTTAAGTGGTCGTCTGATTTCAAAAGGCGTTCCGCCCAAGAGGGTGGGTAGTATGCTCTGATGGTTTTCCAAAAATAATAATATTAACACGAGTGGTTGTGAAGTTCAATGGTCGACGCCGAACATAAAAGCCCTCTTCGCCCTTGTAAATGTATACCGGATGTACCACTGGAATTAAGTAAACACTCAATAATTTTAGGTTAAAGCGAGGCGGGTTACTTTGAAGCTAATAAAATGTTATAAAGTTAAGATTTACATTTTATTTTGTTTACCGACATACCTCGTTGGTTTCAGTTAACCCATTTTGTTTTAGCAATCAACCAAAATAACGTTTGCTTTCAAAAGAAAATAAACTTTATAATATTTACTTATAATACTACTGTATTACTAACAAATATTGATTAGTCGGCCATACTTATTTATATAAACTCTGTTACTTGATGTGCCCAAATTAAGAAATACATTTTTTCATCAACAGCTGTGCAATTATTTATAAAATTATTTCAAACTCAAAGACAACTTTGAGTTGTGACAGATGGGCAAAATCTATCTGTTTCCTCTTGATTTATCTTGATCGTTATGTCGTTTTACTCGACAGAGTTTAAATAAATCATTAAGTTCAGCACGTCGTTATATTTAATCAAATCGCCTACCGTCG